TCGAATTGGAAAAGGTTAAAAAACGTATCCGTGCATATAGGAGAAGCTCACAGGTGATTAGATTAGATGATAATACTAGATATTTATGAAAGATAAAGTACAAAAGAGAATTGGCTATTTATAAACATTTTATTAGGAAGACCAAGAGCGTACATAAAGAGAATTATTTTTTAAGAAATGTTGTTTATTATGATGGTCTTTATAAGACGGCAATAGGAAAGTGAAATTTACAGCTGAAGGTGAAAAGACCTGATGGAATGGTGATGAGCAAGATATTAATACTGTGTACGTTAAAGAGGTGCTTAATTTGGGTGAACCAGAAGATATACATATTTTTGAAGATGATGTTTTGAAATGTAGAGAGAATGACTTACCATTCACATATGATGAAGGTAAGAGGGTAATATTGGGTTTGAGGAATATGGCTGTTGCAGGTCCGGATTGCATACATTCTGTTTTGATTAAGAGATTATTCTTCTATTACCCAGACTTTTTTGTTTGCCTATATAATGTCTGTCTTAAGTTTACTCTTTTCCCAGATTGTTGGAAAATCGGTCGAATTGTTTTGATCCCTAAGCCTAATGGAAAGCATAGACCCATTATGCTTTTGAATATTTTGGGTAAGGTCCTAGACAAATTGGTAACTAGTAATAGAATTTTACACTTTATTGTTAATAAATGACCACTTAGTGAGTTTCAGTATGGATTTACCTTTAGAAGAAGCACGGAGTATCCACTTTACTGGGTTGTTGGATATGTCAAGCGTTTTAGGGGTGAACAACACGCTTTGATTTTTCTTGACATTTCGGCTGCATTTGACTCTGTTGATTGGTCTTCCTTGTTGGATAGTTGAATTGATTAAAAAATACCTAGAACTCTGTTGATTGGTCTTCCTTGTTGCATAGTTGAATTGATTAAAAAATACCTAGAAATTTGTTTTGTTTATTTGTCTATTTAAAAGTTATTTTAGTAATAGAAAAATTGTTTTTAATTGCTTTGAGGATAAGAGTAAAGTATAATATTTATAAGTATAATATTTATAAGGGTTAAGTGTTATTCTCAGTTAGGGCATCACTGACTTTTCATTTTGAATGGACTCTACATATTTCTGTGTAGTACTGGTAGGATATGTATATACAGTCAAATACCGAAAATCAGCCAACTCCTGAAATCCGCGTTGCCTCTCAGAATATAAACATTCAGTTTATAGGTTCCGGAAACCGCAACATTGAGTATGAAATATTGAAGAAAAAAATACTTACCGAATAAATGACGTCATAATTGCCGAATAATAATGAGTCAAAACGGGAATACCAAATTATTGATATAGAAAAGCTAAAAAAAAGATAAAATAAATAAGATAAGTTTTTTTTCCTTCTAACATGCATCGAAGTAAAAAAACAGACGATTCACTCAACTCTTTGTTCAAGTTCACGATTCACGTTGTATTTTCGGAACTTTGTTATTTCATTTCACGAGATTGTTTAGTGCCGCCTTTTTTTTAATCCGGATATTTTGTTTATAAATTAAGGATATTTTTAATTTCAGCCTTTTTTAATCCAATGACAGATAAGAAACGCACTCGTGATTTTACTGCTTGCAACGTGAAAAACGTAAACACGTTGCATTGACGGTAACGCAAAAAGTGCAGAAGATGGAAGCAGGTGCTACTCCTGGATTTATAGCAGAATGGTATGGAATTGCAACACAATTGTGTATGATATACGGAAAAATAAAGAAAAGATGTTGAAATTTTACAGCAACAGTGATTCTAACACTGGAATCCGAAACTGGAAATCTTTGCATGGGGCGAAATCGGCAAACCTCGATGCTGTGTACATATAATACAATGAATAATATAATCAATTTATATATGTAATAATAATTTAATGCATATAATAAATTATTGCAATAATGTATATAATAATTTAATTAAAGGTATCTAACACACCTTATTCATTTTAGTCCGAATATTATGCTTTATCTTTTCTGTCCTGAAATCCCACAACCTCTGGTCCCAAGCTTTGCGGATTTCTGGAATTCTACTGTATATATATTAAATCTTTCAGCCTGCTAGTATTTTCATCGTTTTAAGCAAATTCTGCTTGAAAATGCTGTTGTAATTTTATGTCTGTAAATTCTACAAAATCTATGAAGGTAATTTTATACTGAAAGAAATTTCATTATAGCATTAAAATACAAGTACTTTAATGTTCAAGAATATCATGTTCAAGAATGTCATTTTTATGTAGTAGCATGGAAGAGGGGGAACCCTTGGCTTTCAAACGTTTCCTGGCATCATAGTTCCTCCTAATTTATTATTTTTTAAATATATTTTTAATGTTACTTTCTGCACAATTGAAAACAATTATAAAATATTTTTATTATTTATAAGCCATTTTATTAACAGACTATTAGACTTATGCAAGAGAACAAGAAGAGAGTAAAAATACATATTCCTACAGACAAAACATGTTCACAAAACTTTAACAACACTGGTTTAGATGTAGCAACACTTTAAAAATTGTCAAAAATCAACAGTTATTTAGAGCCAATTTAAAAGTAAAATTATATTCCCTTTTTAAATTTAAATTGGCAAAAATTAATATAAAATTTTTAACAATTTTTAGAGGTTATTGTATGCAGTTAGTATCATTAAAGCAATAACATAATTTTCAATTTTGCAAAATTTCAAAGTTAAAGCTATTAAATAAAATTTTGCTAAAAACAGTAATGTTTTAAAATAAAAGAATGCAGTTTGAATTTTTAAACAGAAAACAATATAATCGTACAAAAATTAGTTGTGATATCATACAAAATATACTACAAATAGTAGAAACTGGAATGTGACATTAGTAAATTTTTCTTTTAAACTATCTTTTCTTCTAAAAATACTTATAAACTCCAATAAATTTCCAGTAGGATTACAGACACTTGATATCCTTTCTGTGTAATAGTATCCACCGGGATCACAAGAGTCCTTGACTGATCTTTATTTTTGCAACCTTTTTTGTAATATGCTATCAAATAATAATAATAATAATAATAAAAAGACAATAATTCATGTTTTGGCATTTTGAAATTCAATGAAATCAGCTTTATAGAAATTATACTTTTTATACGATCTCCAGTCTTTGTACTTATATTAAAAAAATAAAACTCAATAAGTTTGGATTCCTGTGCAACAAAAATTGATCGAGGTATTTAATTTCAAAATTTGTGATATTTAACATCACTTCCAACTTGCCTTGAGGGTTTAATTAACACATTTATTAGAATAATTCAGGGTAGAATTTTTTTCTTTCTTTAATGATATTCTTTTGTGATTTACTAGTGTGCAACATTTTTAAATTTATAATTTTGTTAGAACTAATATTTAATTAGTTAATTATAAAATAAACAAAACTAACAAAATTATAAAAATATTCAGATGCTAGATGTAGTAATTTTTTTTTAATGTTCAGTACTTTTCATGACAATATGAATAGAAATGCTCATTAATTAACGTAACGCATTAATTACTCGGTACCCCAAAATCAATGAAATTGCCGATTTTTAAATTTTTTGCTGAAAAAGTACCTTAATGCACTTACTACACTGAAGAGGAATTTTGAAATGATCTGACGATAATAAATGCTATAAAAAGGTTTTTAAAATTTTGACACCGCTTTAAATGCCACACCCCCCTCAGTGTTTATTTTTTTTACTTCTTATTTTTTTCAGTAGCTTACTAAAAATAAATGTAAATGAAAAGGAGTGTAATTAAATATGACTCCAACTATCAAAAAACTCTATTTACTGATATATATATATACGTATATACTGATATACGTTTATACTGAATTATTTAAATACAAATTAAAGTTGGAAAAAACATTTTTTTCACCTTTAAACTGACAAGTTTATATATTTATACTGAGCTCAGCAAATAATTTTATATGTATTATCAGTCAACAAAAATGCCATGTTTATTCAAAAGTTGAAATTATCTGTGATTAGATACGAACAGAAAGAGGTGGTGTAATGAAAGTGATCAGATTTCTGACCGTAGCATTATTGAAATAGTGGTGGAACAAACATTAAACTTTTTAATTAATTAAAATACACATAAATTAATTTAAAATGCAATTTATATACGAGAACAAATGGCTAAAATAAGAGAAGAAATCACATAAGCTGCTGAGTGGTTTTAAATAAAATGTTTTATGTCCGTTAAAATTTCAAATTTTGCTTTTTAAAAAATGAATAAAACGAAAAATTAATATTATTAATAATGATTATAAGCGTTTTAGAAAATATATTATAATTAATTCATGCATTAAAATTGTTTTGAGCGTGTTTTAAAAAACAAAAACAGGTAAAGAAAAATTCTACTTGCATTTTATGATATTTTTGCAATATTTCTAGCCAGATAAGGTTTTAAACAAAAGCTTGTAATTTATATTCATATTAATCAATTGAGCAGTATTAAGTTTTATTATATATATATGTATTGAAATTCAGTAATAAAATTTTTAAGAAATTGGAAATGATTTAATGACCGTCTAGACAGTTTACATTCTTTAAACTGCGATTTCTCAGTTTGCAATTTTTTAATATATCCTTTTACTTAAAATCCTAAAACTTATTCAGATATGGACCAAATTATTTAATAATTTTACTGCTTATTTAAAATTATATACTTAATAGAATCAAGGATGGGATTTGAAAAATAGTGAAAAGAAAAATTATTGGAAGTAAAAATGTTACTGAAATCATATTTTTATAAAGTTTTTATATAAAAATGTGCTTTTTATTTTTTTTCTCAGAAACTAATTCATTAATTGAAAAATCGATCCGTAAAGTTATGAAGAACACTATTATAAATACAATATAATAATTTGAAGCAAAAATATTGAAAATTGTGGAAGAAGAAAGAATTTTTAATTGTTGAATTTAAAAAAAAATTTTTTTTTTTCAGCTTAAAACCATTTTTTCTCAAACCATTTAATATTATTCATAAAAAGCAGATGAAAGTGCTTAAATAAAAAAAATCATTCAAAAGGTACAGAGTCCCCTTAAGAACAGAAAGTTTTTTCTCAACTCTTATTCTATTTTTAATTACCTACAAATGCAAACATTTCGCTTTTCTATTTGTGTACGGCCTCTAAATACAGTCAAGAACTTTAATATATTATATACAGGAATTGAAATTTGTAGTACAGGAATTGAACGTTTTGTATTTTATTCTTTATAATGCGTATAAAATTTGCCTAAATGTAAGTTAAAGGACTGTGGGAACACATAAAATATTAGGTTTCAAAAGTTTTACGAAACTGATCATTTTGAATTTAAAAATTTCAGAACTAACATACTTCTGTTATTTGAAAAACTTTTTGTAATTGGATATATAGGTAGGTCTATACCAACAGTTGCGAAATAAAGACCGGGAAATAAAAGAGACATGCATGTCAGTTATGAAAAAACCTGCAAAGGGCAATGTTTTCATTAAGTGAGAAAGCACTCTTGAAGACACAGTATTGTACGTTAATAGTGTCTACAACTTCTGATATTTCCATCAGATCAAGAATACTCTTTTAGGAAAAGGAGAAAGGGGAAGAATGATTTTTGCAAAGTTGGGCTGAATAATGAGAGTTTGATACAACTGAATCTTTGACTTTCTTTCATGATATATATGGAAGACCAACGAATGTGCCTGCAATTATGTAAGACCCGGATATTCTGTTTAATACCATCAACAAATGGAGTTCTCATGGAGTCAAACTGACAATTCGCTAGGGAACTACATGAAAAATACTATTCTTTATAGGTAATTCTAAGGTCTAATTAATTCTTTATAGGTATTTCTAAGGTCGATATTTTCTTGAGATTACTGTTTATGCGTTCTATTAAAAAACCAAATGCCCTCGAATGCAACTGTAATTAAATAATGTATATAACAATTGTTTGTAGAATTTCCTGTGATTTTATATCTTTGTGGGTGAACTCTGTTACGTACAATGCCTATGCACCAAAATTTGCACTTTTCTAAATGCTTACTGCCTTTTGAATAATCTCATATTCAGCTATTAATGTTATATTAAAACATCGACATTTATTTTTATGTTAATAATGTTTCCCTGATACTAATTTAAGTAACAGAAAAATGTTATAGCTATTATAACATCTTTCATTTGAAATAAAATTAACAAAGTGCCTTAATCATTTGGTATTTCAAATGATAAAAGCTTTCCATGAAATTGAGGAATAATATCCAATTCACAGTGAATATCATATGCATACCTTGTTCGATATTAGTTCAAAAATTCCAGTTCGGTCGGAGGATTTCCCGAAGTATATAATAATTTAATTTTCTTTGATATTTTGTTGACTTTTAAAAAACGATTGAAAACTGCCACATCTTAAAGCAAGTATACCCTTACTGTTACAATGGCTGTGGCATTATTTCAAATATGAGTTCTTGAAGCAAGCTGTCCATAAAAAAAGTTATACAATTAGCGCAATGCAAGCATTTGTTTAGAGAAAACTTGAGTGGCAGCACTTGCGTAACATGAGTCGCATATTACTACATTATTTGATCTTTCCAGAGTTCAACCATGGGCGGAAGATTGGTAGCGTGGAGGGATAGCTTGTTCCTTTTCGTCTTTGTAGAGTTCCATCATTGTTTCGGATAGGATACGTGGCAATCATTATTGGCAACTGTAATTTAAGGATCCTGTCCATTCCTTTTGGCTCGAGAAAAAACTACAAGAAAGAAGAAGAAATTATGATGCATACTCGAATTGACATAACTTTAAAATTCATAGACATTTAGATGCAGATTATAAGTTCTTACTCATATTTTGCAAGCGATGATTTTCATTGCTTTTATTTAAGTATGAAAAAAAAAAAACTTTAATTTTGCTTTGAAAGTAGCTAATTACCAGTATAAAATTTACGTAGACATATAGATACAAACTTATAGAATACAATACATAGTTATATATAATAGACAAGTAGCTACAAAGTTAAACTAAATTAGATTATATTCACTTTTAAATTGTGCGATAAATATCTATATATTTAGTTTTGCTTATCAACGTCATTACCGCCTTAAGCGACCGGCAACACGGGCAGTTGCCTGGGATGCCATCAAGAATCTCCAAAAAATAGTGGAAATAATAAATACAAAATTTTTTCCAGTCTGACGTTTTTAACACCTTTGTCTAAGTATCACTTGTGTTCAGTTTCTGACACTCTGAGCTATAGAATTTCTTAATGCTGACTTTATTTTCAGATATTCACTTTTCGCTTAAAAAAATAGGTGTTCACACATTTTTAGAACGATTTCGCGACCGTTTAATTAAAGTTTAAAATGTAATGAGTATTTTTTTTAACTCTTCGATTTCATAAACTTTTTTCTCTACTGTAAGTCTGAACCGTGATTTTCATGATAGAAGGGCTTTTCATAAAATCTCCAGGGGTATTGATTTCTATCTCTTTCCCATCACTTATCAGAGTCCATAAATTGTGGTGTGTTTGCGTTTAGAAAGATCTCTTTTCATGAGATCGAAGGCACTATAGTCCATAGGTGAAATATCAGGCGACTTCACGCGAATACGTTGAAAAAGTATATATGCAATTGGAGAGTGGTATTAAGTAAAAATTACGGCTTTTTATTTCCTAGAAAGAAAACAGTTACTTTATCGTAATTATCAGAATTTTGAAGTGAAGTTATAATTACGATAAAAAATCAAATATTAAATCAGCTCCAGCAAAAATATCAAATATTAATCAGTTATAATTACGATAAAAAATCAAATATTGAATCAGCTCAATAAAAAAAATCAAATATTAATCAGTTATAATTAGGATAAAAAATGAAATATTAAATCAGCTCGACTTTTTCATGTCGAGCTGTCACCTAATGATTATTATAGGAATAAGCAATGCTTTTTTTAAATTTTTTCTCCAGCTTACAACGACCACTCGCCTCTTCCAAACAAAGATTGATAATGTGCTACAATGTAGAGAAGCATTTCAAAATGTTTTTTTGAGAACACTCTGCAAACTTAATGTCTGTATGATGTATATCACTTCCATCCACTATCAGCCGGTGTTCGGGAAGGAGAACCATGGCCCACTTCATCTCCCTTTATCTTCCCTTATTCCTTTATTATCCGCTTCGGCACTTTTCTTTAATCCAGGGAAAAACTCATTTACAACACAACTCCAATTATTCGAATCACTTTCAGAATTTTTAAGAATCAGCTGAAGAAAAGAAGGAAAAGGAGAAAAAGGAAAAAGAAGTTCAAGAAAAGGAATGGGAAGAGACACCAGATGAGAATGACGTGTCCCTTGAGGAATTAAGAAACATTCTTTTGAAAATGATGTTCAGAAGTTAGCGCTGAGGATACAGCAGAAAGGATAGTGTGTGATTCATCAGACCATGGGTCTCAAATTCTAAATGATGAACTTGTTGAAAGTATGAGAGAAGAAAGTGTCGAGGAAGAAGATCACTGAAGTTGAAGCAAACGCAGGACCATCAGCTAGTGATGCGTTTGCCGGCCTTAAAACTGAGATGAAGTGGATGGAACGTCAGCCCGAGTGTGACCACATGCACCTTCTCATTGTCGAGCGGATGCGTGACTGGGCTGCCTGAAAATGGATTATGACTGTCAAACAGCTTACTTTGACCGAGATGTTCAGCAAGCAATGACTTTCAACACTTGTACTGTACAGTACCTTATATAACATGTAGGTAAAACTTTTGCCTCTTCATTTTAATTAATTAAAACCTGTTTTTCTTTAAAAACGGGTTTGTTTTCTTTCATTTTCAACATACAGTGATTAATTAAGTGTTCGTAGACCCGCTCTTCGGGAAAAATCCAATTATCCGAATTTTTTATAATCCGAATGGTGTTCGGCCCAATTAATTCAGATAATTGGAGTTCTGTATTTCTAATCAAAGAACTTGTTTCCGTTGCCTGTATAGGAGTGCTTTTGTTAAACATAAGATAAACTTAATCTGCCACTCTGAGCTCAATTTCGGACAAAGAGATTTACCAACAGTGTCTAGTAAGGACTAGGAAATACCCAACATCCCCAGGAAATCCTACTCTAACTAGCCGAAATTTCTGCTAAACCCGTTTCATTAAAGCACCGCATAACTGAAAGATAAATGAATGAACTACAAACAGTTTTTATCACCCACTAACACTTTATTCTGGATCTGAAGAATGTCTTTTTCCAGTTTGGGTTTTATAAGCGACGGAGATGAGTTTTATAAACAGTGGTTTTTCTATTGATTTGTATACAGGGTGTTCCGTAAATGTTGCGATAAACTTCTGGGGGAGGTAGGGCACATCATAAGGATTAAGAATTGCATAGGAACCCATGCCCGGAAATGTCAGGGGTAAGTGGTAACAGAGGTAGAAGATGGGAAAAGAAACAAGAGTGATTAATTTTAAACATTTATTGGACATGAATACAAATAGTGTACGGCAGCTTGAATGTGACAACAGATGCTCGAAGTTTGCACCATCAGACCCTAAGCATGCCTGACACCGACACACCATTTATTGGCGGAGATATTCAAACACACCGGGAGTTTCTTTGATTGTAGTAGCTGCGCAGGCGAGTCTTGCCACGAAATCCATTTCAGACACAACTGTATCGTGATATACGATACTTTGATGGCTTCCCACAAAAAGAAATCAAGGCTCGATAAATTCGGTGAGCGTGGAGGCTAGGGAACTGGTCCATCACGCCCAATCCATCGATGCGGGAAATTATCTGTTCAAATGGGTTCGGGCATCCAATTCAAAATGAGTCCAATTCTTAATGATCCGTAGTCGCACAAATTTTGATGCAGACCTGCAAACAAACTGTGGTATGGTTGATGTCTGTCGGAGAAGCGTTCTCGATAAATGCGTGCAGCAGTTCGTCTATTACCCTCAGCTATTCCATACACTAAGTGCATGTCTGCAAGCTCCCGGTTCGTATACTGTTCCATGCTCTTCATATAGTACCTACCACTCGAATGAGGCAATCCTCACTCTCCACTTTCTCCTGTACAGCACTCCCTGGCGGCGTACAGTGACGTTTCTGGGCTTGGGTTCCTATTGCAATTCTTAATTCTTATGATGTGCCCTACCTCTTCCAGAAGTTTGTAGCAACATTTACGGTACACCCTGAATATGTGTTTTGGTTCCTGGAAATTTGAACGTAATTAAGCGGCTGAATTTATTAACCAGTGAATTTAACATTTTCTTCCTCTGAAAAATTTACTGCGTCAAGTTGGCGGAAACTATAATGTTTTCTTCTAAAACCATTTCATCTTTTATTATACGTGCAAAGTTTTTAGTTCTTTTGTTTATGCAAATCCAATAAACTGCATTTTCCTTATTTCTATGCCGAATTCTATATTAATAACCTCCGGAAAGAAGTAATAAGGGGCTTTCTTCACTTTCTAAAAAATGTCTAAAGCATCCGTACTCATTTACAAGAAACGAAACAAGAAACGAAAATAACAGCTAATATTGTAACAAAATTACAAATAGAATGAAACTGAAGATTTCGAGAAGGAGACTGAACTAACATATTTCATCAATCTAAACATACCGATGCGAGAATTCACTTTTATTCATAAAGAAACAACCAACACCTATTAACGACTAATCGTGACATCTATCTAGGAGAAGGCTGCGGCGGATAACCCTCCCTTGGGACAGTGACTACTCGAGGGTGGTTGCAAAGAGCCATATACACCTCTCAAAATGCTTTTATAAATAAACGAAATTCATAAAAACCAAAGGAGATATTATTTCCCAATTTTATTATTGAAGAAAGTCTTTTTGGATTTTCTTTTGCTGGACAAATTTGAACGCAGTATATGGGTCTTGGCGACATTTATTATGGCCAAGAAGAAAAGTTGTCTAAAAGGGATTATACCGCACGTACATTTTACATAATTTTTTCAAGATGTGGTGTAATATTTTCGCATAACAGTGTAATGTTGCGCGCTTCCAACCTGCACACAACAATAGTGGTGACTGCTAAGAACTGGAAAGTCTTGAGAAGGGTTTAAATCCCTTTTTATTCAACTTTAGAAGTTACAAATGCGTGCTCTTGACGCTCACAAACTACGCCGACCCGGCGGTAAAATAAAAATAAGAAACTAAGAAAAGAATAGTACAAGTGACTAACTACGAGGCTCTCTAAACGTAACTAACCTCACCGCGTTCTAAAATACCGCTGATAATTCAGCAAACTTCTGAATATTACGTTGAAAGATTAACAATCTGCCGAGGCAAGCACACAGGCCGAAACGCGTGGTTCTTCAATTTCTAACTAGCCACCTCCACGCTCGTGAAGCAAGAAAGCACACTTTCGAACTCGTTTCCCTTCTATTTAACTCAGATTACTTCCGCTGACAATTTGAATCCTTGCGCGTTCTACTAAAATTTACATACTCTGGCATTGGCAATTCCAGGGGAAAGTAAGGCTTGACAGGAAAGATAGTTTAAACTTAAAATAAATGTTAGTTAAAATAAACATAAACCCTACTACAGAATCAGAAAATATAATTTTCTTGAACTTTATATCGTCTATTATCTGCGTTTTATAGTGAAGAACAGAGCTGTAATTCTTTACAAATTTAGTGTTATAACCATTGTTTTCAATGCTTTAATTAACTATGCCTGTGCTCTGTGCAAGAATTTGTATTTAGACTCCTTAAAATCAGGTTTGAATATAATAAAACAAATATCTTACAATACAACAAATACATACACGATTTTTAATAAGATTTATCTTAATTACACTTTTCTGGCTTTCATTCGAGTGAATTCATTAATAACATCATAATAATTAATATTTTAACGATGTTGTATTCTATTGAAATAATAGAAAGACAGGATAATCATTCTTGTTACATTTGAAGCTTTTCTCAGCTGATCTTGTTTTATTGCAAAAAACGTGCAGTATTATAATATTTATAGTTAAAACATATTCTTTTCTGTAACATTAAATGCAAGTGAAATTGTTTTGATAACATCTAGTTCAGTGCCAGCTTCTTCCACAATTAATCTAAATTTGTTAATGCTTTGCTGACATTGATTCTCAAGCGCTAACGAAATATTTATATTTAACTGGTAAAGTTACCAAATTTTATAAATTATCATTTTTTCATGGTAATTTCTAAAATTTGGTAAATTTACCAGTTACATGACATCAATATGCTTTTTTAAATTTAATCTGTATATTATTTTCTTTTACTATTATATATTTATTTTCTTTATTACTATAGCCGCTATGGGGAAAGAAAAGAAAATTAAAAGCAGAGGACATACCATTTTAATGCTGAATGGGACGAACAATTTTCTCTCATTTAAAGAAAAATATGTGTGTCTATTATGAAATTAAAGAGTAGCGATTGCTTAATGTTACATGAAGAAATATTTCATCACTGTTTCGCTGCCCGTCGAACACCTGCATTTCTGTAATATGTCCTTCTAGTAAAAAAAAAGGTTTCCGATTCCTGCTTTTCAGTATTACAACTTGTAATTATAATCACTTTCCAGTTTAGCCATTTCTTTAAAAAATAGGTTTTTCCTCCTTTTTTATACTTTTCAAATAGTTTTAAAATTTATACATGTAAGATATAATCAAATACGATGGCTATGTTAAGAAATAATTGGCAACCTCAAAATTAACTACTCCAAATTTAGTTCTTCCCCCCTAAATTCATCTGTTCTCCCAAATTCGAGATCTTTCCAGATTACATAACACTGCTTGACAAAGGTTAACCAGTCACGGCTTCGGCAAACAACACTGCGCCGCTATGATTCCCTACCTGAAATGACATCGTATCTTTTTTCTTGTTATATCAAAATTTATTCTATTCAACGATGACTGAAAAGTAATTCGTCTTGATATGCGTAAAAATAAAGAAGGGGATTCTTCAATTCCATTTTGTTAGCTGCTTCATCAAGCCTTCACTTTCAGCAGCCACTATTGTCTTCGAATGCCAGAAATTAAAGTACCTAAGTGAGTGGTACTGATTCAGGACCACGCACTTAAAATATTACATCTAAATAGAGTCAACAAAGATGTGTACCTGCTGCCTCAACTCCAGTGGAAATTGTGTTGACTCCGGAATCAAGAGTAACGATCTTCTCGTGATTAAAAAGTGTACCGTCGAAAATTATTTCCATCAGCAAAATCATTGTGCCTAAAGTGCAAATATTTAAAGTCAAAAGAAATCCATTCTTATAAATTAATCTAGCGTAGTGAAAGGGAATTAATGTGTACGAAGATTCCGAGTTTATTTCAACAACACAATGATTTTGAGGTCATCGCTCTTTCTGTAAATAATTTATTAGTACAGCGATACCATCATGCAATTTATGCGTCAGCAATCTTGTCCATTAAAAGTTAGTTCAAAGTTGCTTTTCTCGTCCAAGATGAATTGCAAGATGGGAATGATTTTTCTTGCACGATTTATTCATCAACTTCTGTCATATGGATTTTTTTTTTCGCAAAGGGTTTTATTGAGTGCAGCTAAAAATATCATATTGAAATTGCTAATTATTATTTATTATATTGAAAATTTGAATACATATTGTTGTTTCTTCTTGTATTAGATTAAAAGTATAGTATTGTTTTACGAAAAATGGTATTAGAAATTTTAATTCTAATAATTTAGTAAAGTATGTAAAGGATTGTTAGATTTTTAATTATTTTCAGGGAAGGCTATTAAGATAAATAATTATATTTTTGATTTTGTGTTGAAAATTTTGAATAAGAATTTTATAATTATTTAAAAAATGAAGTGGATATAAAAAATAAATGAAATTATTATAGATAAATAATATGACTGTATGGTAAATGCATTAAAATTTATGGGTGACTGTATGTTAAGTATAGAGTATGTTGAGGGAGTACTGGTTCCGAAACAGAGGTTGTTCCTTTTACCCTCTTCATATAAAATAAAGTTGAAGGCTCTCATTTTATGATTGAATGTAATTTATATATATATTATTATTATAATACTTTTTTTTATTATGGAATGTATTAGTGCAGTTTACAAAGGCCAGTTACCTTATGCAAGAGAAGGATGTCTTTTCAAGCAACTGCCTAAACATCCCTGAGTCACTAGTTGAGAAGAACACGCTGGTTAGTTCAAGAGGATAGCCTTATTGATGAAAATGTTTGTTTAGAAGCACTGTGAGGCCTTCCAATTTGGTAAAACCAGGAATTGCAAATGAAAAGATAATAACGGTGAAACCATAATTTCTGAAAATGTTACTCCTATTATATTTATGGTGTTAAAATATCATTTATCGATATGGAAATTAGTATCAAATATTTACGTGTTACATTAAATTATAAATAATGATTAAGTAAAAGGTTTGATTTGTGATACTCTGTGATAATAAGAATCTTCCGTGAAGAATTATAATTATGTCAACTCTCAACCAAAAATACATTTGGACTAAAATTCTGAAAAATATAAAAGCACTCTAAAATTTAAATTTATTAAAAAAATTGATATTAAAAATTTATATAGTTATTTAATTAATTATAGTGATCAAAATTTTATGATTTACGTTTTTCCTCATTTGCTAGTGCTTTTAACGCTTTTTCTTTAAAAAGGCTACTCTGTCGCTACGCCCTTTTTCTCCTTGGAGGGGCAGGCTATGTAAGATATAAATAAAATACGATGGCTAAATAAAATACGATATAATAAAATACGATGGTTAAGAAATAATTAGCAACCACAAAATTAACTATTCTAAATTTCGTGTTCTCTTTCCTAAATTCATCTGTTTGCCCAAAATCAAAATCTATCAAAATTACATAACACTGCTTGAAAAAAGGCAACTAAAACTAAAATTAATCAATCACGGCTTGGCTTTACTTACGCACCTACGTAGTATAAACACTGGCCGCAAGCAATGACGTCCCCTTTTTTTCCTGACTTCTGCCACCTAAACAACGTTGCGCCGCTATGCTTCCCTGCCTGAAATGACGTCGTATCTTTTTTTATCCTGTTACATAAAAATGTATTGTACTCATTGATGATTAAAAAGTAATTTGTCTTATAAAGAGATGATTTGATATCTGTAAAAATAAAGATGGTGATTCTTTAATTCAGTTTTATTAGCTGCTTCACCTTCAGCCACCACTGTCTTCGAAGGCCAGAAGTTCAAGTACCGGATTCACGACTACGCACTAAAACCATTACATGTATATTAAGGTAATTTTTGTTGTATACTTTTCAAACAAAAAATAATTCGATCTGAAAAGAAAATGTATAAAAATATTTAAATATGAATGAAATCAGTTTATTCCTTCCGAGCAACAAATAATTCGTAAATAGATTTTTTGTTGCCAAACCAGGGGAAAAAAAATCGTTTGACACTTCAGGTATGCGTATGACGTCATGATTTCAATTTAATATAATATAACAAATATTTTCAATAGCAATAAATGAATTAGCGTGACAATAACATATCGTATCAATTATCCTAATCTGAAACAAAAAAGTTGCCAATTGCAGCTGTTTATTTAAAATGCTGACATTAAAGAAAAATTTTCGACGTGCAAATGAAGTCACATGCACCAGCGAGCAAGATTGTTTGCTACTCGGAAAAATGAGTGCGAAAATTACCGTTTCCAAAGTTTTTAATTAATATTTCGGGTGATTAAAAGTCGTACGAAAATGGGAATGATCGAAATGGCTCGGGGATACCACTTTCGAAACTCAATTCCCCGTGTTCCGGAGGAGATGATGTCACAAACAAATAAACAGACAGACGCGTACAGATTTTAATAGTATAGATAATAAGTTTATAATAATTTACAAAATTAAAAATAATAATTTATAATAATAAGAAATTTAAAATTTATGCATACTGAGATAATTTTGAACATTAGTACAATATCATGTACTATGTTTAGTATTTTATCACCATATTCCTAAGAATGCTTGCTTTCATGGATAAATAGAACAGTAGAAACTGGAATAAACTTCTAATTATGAAGTTTATCAGGATTTATAATCAGTGTCTAATTTCATATTACTTACGTAGACATCGTATTGTATTTTAATAAGATGACATCCCCGAAGATTGGTCGGAGGAATGGGAGGGATATAGAGCATTTCATTCTTCCAATGATCTGTAGTTCCAGGATCTATTCGACCCTTCTGAAGGGATGCCAGCTCCCTTGTTTCGGACTGTACAATCTTGCTTTTGGCCGTATACTGAATTGTCTGAAATTAAAGATAGATGAATTGGTTAGATGGCAGGGAAATACAATATTTATGCTTCATAACATCGTTGAAAATTAAACTGTTTTTAAGAGATTTAAAAAAGTTGCTGAAAATTTTCTCAGTAGTACTTTCCTATTATTGAGAAAGTTAAAATAATTCACATATTAAGAATACAGTTTGTAAACATCTGAATTTCAATGCTATTTCCTTCTGTCCAGTCATAGTTCCAAACGTAAATTTCCACTTGTAAATTCTAAAACTGCGGCTAATACTACTTAAATAATTCAGCGTTATTCAGATTGCGCAACAGTTTGAAATAGATGAGCTTAGCAGACAAATAACAATACTTGCGAAGAAAAGAAAGGTTTGATTAAGTTCTTTATATATATAAGCGGCTAAAATGTGTGTCGCCGATAGTTTATTGTTGCCACTCGGCAAAATGAGCGCGGAAATTAACGTTTCCGCAGTTTTTAATTAATATCTCGGCTGATTAAAGTCGTACGAAGATGAGAACGGTATCGATGGATTCGGAGAATATTTTGGAATCCGAGGATACGCGTCTTGAATTTCAACTCGGCGCAGTTCCGTAGATATTCGAGAAAAAAGAATTTGGCAAGTAACCAAATTCCTCTAATAGGTAAAACCCAAGAAAGAAAGCGGAAAATGTTCGGAAAACGTACGGGAAAATTAGTTTTTAATTAATATCTCGGCTAATTAAAGTCTCAAGAAGACGCGAATGGTCAAAATGGCGTGCCGCGGACCTGCGGAATCCAACGGTGTGCTTCGCTAAGCCCGGGAGCCAGCCGTTTCGGAGGAGATGATGTCACTTTACCCCATGCTGTTACTTCACACAATGCGGCTTAAGTGTTTGTTGTCGCCGATAGTTTATTGGTTGCTTGCGTAACTGTACTAGCCAATGGGATGAAGTTGCCACGGCGCAGTGTTGCCGTTTCAATTGAGACGTAGACAATTTCCTGTAAAACTTGCCTTTGCTATGACCATCAATAAGTCTCAGGGTCAAACGCTTAAGCGTGTTGGCATTTTTTTACCTGAGCCTGCATTTGGACACGGTCAACTTTATGTCTCCTGTTCAAGAGTTCGTGAAAGAACTCTAAATTAAACGTGAACTAACGCAAAATTAAAAATAATTTATGGTCCTCTGCAAGGCGAGCTTAGAAATGATGGAAAGATCTACACAAGAAATGTCGTGTACAAAGAGATCTTTGACATGTGAATTAAAATTTTATTATTTAAATCACCTTTATTTATTGAGTTAGCAGTGTCTCTTAAGAAATGTACCGCCAGTGGTTTCCTTCCTTGCACTCACTTTAAACAATTAAGCAAGTAGAAGGGGGAAACCCCGTGGGGCAGTAAGCAAAGGGGCTTCCTCGCCGCCTACCCTGGGTTTACATACAATAATTACATACCCTGGGTTTACATACAATAATTAATTACAGTTTAAACTAGCAGACACCTTTGCACAAATCATTTTAATTACAATTTGTAATATCTAGAAAACCGGTCATTTCGTATGACATCCGAGTTTTCTAGTTAGTTATAATTTGAAAGTATTGTTTAAAAACATTGCATTTAAACGAAAAGTAAACTACACTCCAAGGCTTTAAGTCAAACCCAACTAGTTTTTATCTAGCGCTTAGTTTTTAAAGATACGTTTCAAGGTTCGAGTGAATAAAGGTCTAGAACACGGATTCTGAACTGGTGGTACGCAAGAGAAAAATAGGTGGTACGCAAAGAAGGAAATTAGTTTTAACTATTAAATTCAAAAATTAAAATCCCAACATTCTGATTGAGTTTTTTCTCTAACACTCCTAAATTTATGCGGTTTGAGCTTTGTTCAAGAGCAGTGGTGGTACTAAAGATTTTCAATTTTTGTTTAGATGATACGCGTTAGACCAAAGGTTGAGAAACGCTGGTCTAGAAAATCTTCCCTGATATTGTACTTTGAATACAAAGGCACAGAAAAGTTCCGGCAAAAGTTTGGAGAACTTAAGTTATTATTCGCTCCGCACCCTTAATTTGTACCCTACAAGCATATCTTCATTATAACCTAGATTTGTTTTAATTTTATTTTCCTCTCCTCTCCTAAAGGTAGCGAGCTTGGAAAAAAATAAGAATGGAAAGCTGCGCTATATTTAGGATTACAAATAGTAAAATTTTAAAAAATAATATGAGGAACTAAATCTATTAACAAATTTGAAAATTACATTTGTCCGATCATTCAGCGCAACACTTATGAATCATAATTAGACTATTAAATACCGACAAGGCCACTTGTTGCCCTAAAAATTTTGGATGAAGATAGGTACAGTTACAGAGAGTTATATGAATACATATATGTAAAATAAAATTTCTAATAGCTTAATACAAAGACTTTATTTTCTAATTTGATCCTTCCCTTTTTTCATTCTATTATTAAAATATTTATAATACATTTTTCTGAAGTTCACCATTTAAAAATTAATCTCCATTATATGATTGTTAGCCCAAAAGAGGTTGCAAATTGTTAAAACCAAATATTATCGCCCAGTATTATTTTTAAAGAACTAAATAATGAAGAATTTTCATGAATGTTTTTAGCAGTGTAAAGAAACGACACCACCTAGAACCATCAAATTTTGAATACTTGAACTTGTGCACCTGGAAGCCTGAATTTTGAGTTTGTTTTATTACCTCTATTTCATACTTTGAAAAACTATAACGGATTTCTGATTAACAAACTCAACGATTTGAAAACGAGCAATGGCAACACTGCGCGCAAAAACCGAAAAGAACAAGTCCTTCTAACACGCTTACGTATAGGGCACTCTAGGATTACTCATCAGCACCTGCTAAAAGGGGAGAATGCCCTCAATCTGTGCAAACTGTAACCCTATCAGTGTGACTGTATTATCTGTGATCCATATTTTAAATGCCTGTGCAAATCTTCAATCTCTTAGGTTGAAACGTTTTGGTTCTTTCAACCCATCTCTATTTCAGTTAACTAGAATACACCCTTATTTCAATTTGTGTCACTTTTTAAAAGCTACAGGTTTTCATTATAAACGGTAAAATTTTAAATGAAAGTTATATTTTTAATCCAAAGTAAAGCGCTTTTAACCTTGTACAATTTTTATTATTATACTAAGGATATTTGTACAATTTTTATTATTATACTAAGGATATTTGATTTTCTTCTCTACATTATTCTTTCAGACTTAATGGCAGTCTTTAGAATTCTTCGACTCCAGCTTCTATTATCATCGCATGCCTATGTACTTTGGCGCATCAAGCAGGTTATGCGTCATAAAACACCACCATTTTTATTGTTACGTAAGTTTGTGGGAGTATGTTAGGATCAACATTTAAACGAAATTCGTTTAACATGCATAGTAAGACAGAAAATTAATTTAAATAGATTTGGTAGGCTTCTATTTTTGGTCTGTGCTTCACGCTAATTTGCATTTCAATGCTGTTGACTCTAGTGTTTTCTCACGTCTCATTTGGTGATTTCTGTGCTTCAGTAAGGTATAAGGCGATTGGATTAAAAGTTTTTGCTCTAGTTATTCTGAGTTATGGAAACACATATTTTAAAACAACGTTCCTATAATTTGATGATGTGTTAGTGTTACTGCATCGATTTAATGCTATTAAATGATAAAAGTACGATGAAACCAGCATATTTATTCTGCTCAAACCGAGGACGATCTCTCAGACCCACGACGTCCATCTCCAGTGGATCCCATAACATCCCACCCATCATATTAATGGTAATGAGATCGCTGATAAACTGGCAAAACAGGGTAGTGAAAATGAAACGGTCACTGGCTCCTCACTTACTTACCAAGAACTTTATTCGAAGGAAAGATAATATGGCGTATTCCACCTGCGCACCAATGGTACACAGGAACATTCCCTGGCTCCCTACTGGAAATCAAATGTGACCGTGGCTCCCAGACTGCTCTAGTTAGGCTAGCAAGAAGCCACCTTAAATGTCTTTCCTTTGATTAGTGGCAGAAAAATTCACCTCGCTTGTAAAAAATGGTGTGACCATTCAGCTTCACCGGATTACATACTGGATTGCATCGAACTTTCTAAAGGAGACTTGACATCCGATCCCCTCACTGTTATTGATTTTTTGGCGGTTAAGAACCTCCTGGAGCACCAACAATGACTTATGTCAGATCCTTCGAGGATAAGCAACAACAGCAAATGATAGAAACATTCGGATATCTCTGCAATTAAACATCAGCTATCCAAATTGAATTGACAGTGGTAAATTTCACGAAATCGATTTCCGTATTAAAAAAGGTGACTGTTTTAAGTAACCATTTATTCTGAAACAGTATATTATTTATTTTAGCAAAATTTTTTGAAACATTCATTATTTCATTTCGCCAATCAAAAAAATTTTTTTAGCAAAACGCAAAATTGTAAAGCCGATAATAAACACATATAATTATTACTTTCCTCAAAATCGGTAATAGACACATATAATTATTAATTTTTTCTCAATATAATCCGCAGGTAACGAACGCATTTTCTGCTTCACGTTCTTTTTAAGCAGCTGATTTAATTCAGAACATGTTTTTTTCCCCGAGGCATTAAAACATTTACGAAGCTGACTTTTCCATATAAGCACAAAGTCAGAAGCAGGTGATAGAAACAAGCTTGAAATAATCTAGAGGGCTAAAATATAGCTGTTTTATAGGTCTATGACCTGACTTTATATTTATTAAGTTACGAAACTGGGTTCCAAATCGTTTTGCTCATCACATCTGTATGGTAATTCTCAAGTTTTGTCAGAAGCATCGTCAGTTGTCCAACAAGTTTTAAGAAAATTGGGCAAGGGAACGCTTGGATAATAATTTTTGGATAATCGAAGGCCTTTTGCATTTAAAATTGGCATAACACTTATAAAGTATTTCTTCCGCCTTCTTCGCATGCCTTCGTGGTGTGATGGTCTGCACGCTCAGCACTCAATTGAGAGGTCCGTGGTTCGA